CATATTATATTATCTGGTAATGTTATTACCAGTCTGTACAGAAAAAGTTTGCAAAAGTGCTTTTCAGAGCAATATTACAACTATACTGTATTTTTATACAGTTAGTTAACTTGCAAACTCTTCCAAAACAGAGTTAAGCATCCCAGATTTAAAGATTTAAAAATTATCTAGGCAGTATGCATACTGCCAATTTCATGACCTCAGTGTTCTCAGAAATTTGAATTATAAACATCTCTTCACAGGAGTTCAGCTGAAACGTACACGTTAGTAGAAGGTAAATTCCCTTATTATCCTGTTCTCCTGCTGGGGTGGGTGAGTATGACATGCACTAAGGGACTGAAGCGCCTGGGAGTAGTTTCTCAAAGGCCAAGTGCTAGCATTCCAAATCTCTCTTGGAATTTGGCACTGGTCTGGACCTTCTCAGCTGTGTGATCCCTTTTGAGCACTTTAAGGTGAAAGAGCACTGATACCTGTGGGGTCACAGCTCTCAGATACCACAGGGAATGTGCTGTCTCCTTGTGGATTTTCACTTACATGTGCTTTTTGTATGAAAATGTTTGCTATTCCTCTTGCTAAGTTAATATCAGACTATGATGCCATGGAAGTAACTGTTTTGCAGAATGTTCAAGAGAATCTGTGTGTTGGAACCCAATATAGGCAAATCACACACACTAATAATCCCATCAGTGGATATTAATCATGTGATGACTCAAATGTTTGAAAATTTTTTTTCAGGCATTCTTACATAGGAAGGTCTGAGTTAGTCACTGGTACTGTGGTTTTTCCCTGAATTGTCTACGTTGTCCCAGCCTCAGTAAGCTGCAGAATGTGCTATCCATGTATATATTGTATGTAAAATGCTTCAATAGTTTGTTGGACTTGTGTCCAGTTACCCCAGTCATTGTATCCTGAAAGGGGTGCAGTGCTGACCATTCTTGAATTCCACTTTCCACATGGAAACGTTAATGTAAAAAGGATGACTGTTTAGTAATTACAAAGTGACCAGGAGAATTAAACAGGGGGGAGAAGTTTTAAAAAAAGAAAGAAAAAGCTGATCTGTTATTCTGTATATTGCATTAAGTACTGTCTCCTGTAAAGTTACACAAAATTCACTAAAGATATTGAAAGAAAATACTGTGGAAATTAAATATTTTTGTGGGAACTATTTAATGTCTGGTTACTGTGATACCTGGTTTTCATGCCTGGCTTAAGCAAAAAGTGCATTAAGGTTTTGGTTTTTCTTTAATGATCTAAAATATCTTGGTTCCAGACTTGCTCTAGTGAACCTACATTCTATTAAACATTTGGAATTGACAACTACTAAAACCTGTTCCAGTGCTTTTCTGTTCAGTTGTGTGTGGCTTACTGTGCTGCTATAGCACAATCAGAGCTGTTTAGCCTTTCAGTCTGATAGTGAAACTCACCCTATTAACCTTAAATTGTAATCACAGATGTTCCAAAATAATACATATATCACTGTCATGCAGCAGTGAACTTTAATCTTCCTGGCTTCCTTGCTGCAGTGTTTACCAGAACCTCAAATTCCGGCTACAAAGACCTTTCACTTTCTTCTTGCAGTAAGAACACTAAATAGTTTATCCTATGGAAACGCTTTCTGAATGACTGTCAGACTTCGAAACACTTGCAACTCAAAAAATCCTATCCAGTGCGTGTGTTTGCTAGCTTCGCACTGAGCGTTCCTGAGCTTTGAATCTCTATGTGCTGTTTTGAATAGTACAGAATAGGTCTGTTGTTTTATGGTCTCATTTGGAGATTACCAAACTGGTAAGAAGTGACGTCAAGCATATTCAGTAACTGAAAAGACTACCCAGCCTATTCCAGTTAAGATCAGCAGGAATTGTCCTAAAGAGAACAGCAACAGCATGCAGGGCAACTTGTGGAACTGTATGACACACCTCTGCTGGTTGTTCCAATGTTAAATACACGAGAGATGCTCTAACCATGTGAATCCAGTAATTGGTTTATTTACCAAAAGACTTCACAACTCTTACTGCTGTACCTTAAGGCAAAATGAATGATGTAGCAAAGCATGTATGCATTTATGGTTCTTTACTACAGCTGTTAACATATTCAGGTACTCCTTGAATATTTATAATCTTTACTTATTTTTTACCTAAGTTTGGTGGTGCTAGTATTCCTCCAGATGTCCTTTTCTACACGCGTCTTCTGAAGGCATTTGAGGTATTCACCCCTGAAGATTAGAAGGTCAATAAAAAGAAACCAACTCATCACCATCTAAAAGTTAGGATTCTCATTCTAGGCTTTTGTTTTGTTCTGTCATCTGTGAACATGAACTGGACAGAATGCAGTCTTTAAGGATCAGGCTTGGCAACTGGCACTGTGATAAACAATACCCGTTTTCCTTTGTTAAATACTGCTGTAGTTGTTTCTTCATCCACCAATTCTGGCAGATCTAGTTGTAATTTATATTTTTCAGGGACTTCAATGATTATGTCATCCTAAACCAAGAAAATGAAAATATTTAATGAACTATTTGACAGCAAATTAGCAGTGAGAATTTCTAGGAACTGGAGGCTAGACAGAAAATGCAAGGTTATTCTTTCTGCTCTCTTACCTTTGAAATCTGCAAATCACACTCGGAAACAGAGCTAACCTTAGGCAATTCAATTTTTAGTTCAAATTTGAGTGGTTTCTTGTTTGTATCCTTCACGGTGATCATTTCATAGACAGGGGTACTTAGCTTCTCTGGCATTTCAGTACTGCTAACTTCTTCTATCAGATGTCCTTTAGAGTGTGTCACGTTTTCATCCTTCAGCAACACAGGAACATTGCTGCAGTCCTCAGCTTCCATAGTGTGTAGCAGCTGATCAAGTGTCAGTTCTTTGAAGAAAAATAAGTTTTTCACATGTATCACTCAGTTACCAAGAACTGTAATGTTATGCCACTTGACAAATATATCACGAAAGTTTTAACTGTAATGAATTGTAATTAGCAATTTTGTCAGCTGAAGACTGTTACTGGCAGATTCTCTTTTGCCCATGATTTGGTTTTATTGCCAACGGGTTAAAAGTTCTTGTTTTCAGACTACTAGTTAGAGCAGCAACCCCTTTTACTCAGATTAGCACAAAAGAAACTTAGCACCTCAAAGGATCAAACCCTAGCAGAGTTCCCGTGTCTAGTGGATACAGGAAAAAGGGAATTTGCTGTTCCAGTGTCACTACAGCTTCTCACTTGTAAAACACCGGAGATGAATGCAGACAGGCCAGCAGGGTTAAACTAACATCTGGTATGAATACTGCTGCCTTATTCTGAATTCTTAGAGAGAAGCATTTGGTTTATGCTTCTGGCAAGAACTGGGGTGAGAGAGATGAGACTTCAGTAAGTTTGTTGGAGTTTCTGATGGAGAAACCTCAAAGAAAAGTGACAGCAGGTCTCTACGTACCCTTCTTTGTGTTCTGACTGAAATATGGAGTTGGTATCTGCCTTCCTTTCAGACGTTGCTGCATCATTTCCAGGCTTCCTTTCAGTTTGAATGATTCAACAGTGTACAAATCAGAAAGGATAAGGTTGCATCGTTCCTCAACGAATTTAAGTGTCAAATGGATCAAGTGCTCCATTTTTTCCGGGTTTTCTTCTCCCCTCTGAAGAACATCTGGGTTATATGCAATATCTATAATGCTGTAAAGGTCTATAAAAATAAGTTACTTGTCAGAATCATTGCTATGTACCATGTGCCAGCGTTCTTTATAATCACTTGATTTAAAAGGAAAGGAAATGAATTTGTGGCTTCTGGGCAGAGAGCTAATTCTGTCATCCTCCTCTAGAGTTGACACCTCTCCATGTGCTGAACCAGCAGTCTGTGTTCAAGGACAAGCGTGGGAACACAGTCCAAGTGAACGTGACTATACGTGGTCAAAGAGATTCCTAGTACTCTTCAGGATTTAGATGCGTGCAACTCGCGTTTCTTCACTATTTGGGTGGGTTTTTTTGTTCAAAAGGGAAAGATTCATTTAGAGTCCTGTTGGGATATGCCTGTCGCACCCTTGCCCCCCCCCTCCCCCCCCGGGCTAAGAGCTGGCCACGGCGTGGCACCACCCTCTGTGACAGCGAGAGTCTGCGTCTGATTGCCACGCAGTGGACTACTGCAGCAACAAATGCATCCGGGGCGAAGCGCAACTCCTTCGGGACGTTACCTCCTTCACCAGATACTTCTTCCAGCGGCCCCGCACTGACAGGAGTGGGGTCAGTGGGGGCCTTGGGCGCCGGCACCCTTTTCCAGCCGCAGACGTTGATGAACAGCGGCCTCCCGACGACTCCCTGCAAGAAGCCGAGCCGCGGCTGAGCGCTCCGCCCGCGCCGCCCCCCTCCGGCCCCGCACTCGGCCCTCGTTACCCGCCGCAGCGCCCGGGCGGGAGGCCGAACGCCAAACCCCGCGCAACCCACCGTGGGACGGGCCCGCAGGCACAGGTGAGGCTCCGGCGGGGCGCAGAGCCGCTCGGCCTCGGCACGCTGCTGCCGCTGGAACCGACGGTAGGCTTGGGGCTCGTTCTCCGCCATCTCGTCCAGCAGCGACCAGAGCTGTGAGGCCAGCGCCGCGCCCGCCATGGCGACCACCGTCGCCTAGCGACGGAGCGACCGGAAGGGCCACGCTCTGCGGGTCCGTTCGCCTTTCCCGTCCTCCTCCTGCTTCCGCTCGAGCCGGCCCCGCAAC